GTTATGGACCTGAGCTATAACAAGAACAACAACAAGAACAATAACATCACCACAACCCACTGACCAGCTTCCCGCCCAAACAAACACGAACTTTTTTTTTTTTTTTTTTGCTTCAACAAATACCGACAATTTTTCCTTGGACACCAACTTTTCTCAGTGAAGTATTTGTGACAGCCATTAAAACTCCATCGTTGGGGGGGGGTAGGTAGGTAGGTAGGTAGGTAGGTAGGTAGGGAGTGGAAGGGTGGTGGAGGGAGGGAGGGAGGGAGGCCTTGGCGCCGATACCTTAGCGTAAATATATTAGAGTCGCCAATTTGTGTTCCCCGAGCCACAGAATTAAGCCAACTTTTAATAGATTTATTCCCATAGTTCCGCTGAAATATGTGTCATGGTTATTTGTGTACATCTGAGAGTCTTCCTACGTGTACATATGACTGCACTTTAGTGTCGGATAATTAGCAAAAAGTACAAGATAACTGGTCAGTGGTTGTCGCCTCGCCACGCCATACCACTCACCAAAATCACCCAAGTTTGGCCTCAAAAATCTCCTTTTAACAATTAAAATCACCGAGTTTCGTATATCTCCTCAGGGTACGGGAGGGGGTGTGAGGGGTGAGGGGTGGGGAGGGGAGAGAGGGGAGAAAGTAAAAAGATTTCCAGAGAATGGGGAGTAAGTGGTGCTTTTGGGGAGATGTGAAGGTGAGGTTCAGTTTGATGGTGGGGAGAATTAGAAGTTACATCTGACGTTGAGGTGACGGGAGGTGCGATGTTCTGGGGTGTTTAGGATACTGGAAACTAAGAGGAGGCTGTGGGGAGGGGAGGGGAGAAGAGGGAAGGGGACCCGTGGGGAGGGACCGCATTCACAGGAAGAGGTGTAAGTCTTAATCGTCGGGGGAGGGGGAGGGAGGGGTAAGAGGCGTGGGGAGGAGAGTGAGAGAATGGGACGGAGGAGATAAAAAATAAATAAATTAGGAGAGGAAAGGAACAGGGGAGACACAGGGATGAAGGAATAAGGAGAATAGAATTGAGGGAAGGTGAGGTGGGGAACTCGGAAGGGGGAATAGGGAGGACTAAAGAAGAACAACAGGGAGAGGGGAAAAAGAAAGGAGGGAAAAAGGCACTTGGAGGAGAAGAGGAGGATGTTGAATATGAGAGAAGAAGGAAGGAAGGAAGGATGGGAGACGGAGAAGAAGAGGAGGCAGGAGAACGAGAAAGAGAGACAAAGGGGAGGACGGGGGGTGTGGAAGAGGGTGATAGAGAAGGGAGGGAGAGAGGAGGAAAGAAAGAATCGTGATAGAAGAGGGAGATGGAGGAGGGAAGGAGAGAGGAGGAGGGGAATAAATCGTGAAAGAGGAAGGACAGGGAGAGACAGAGAGGGAGGGAGAGAGAGGGAGAGGAGGGAGGGAGAGGGAGGGAGAGGGAAGGAAGAGGAGGGACAAGGAAAGACAGAGAGGGAAGGAGAGGGAGGGAGAGGGACGGAAGAGGAGGGAGTTTGGACACAACATAATCGCAATCAAGTATTCCAGACCGCCTCAAATTATAAATGATAATGAATTGCAATCAAGATTAAAATCGAAGTGTTTGGAGGGTGGAAAAAAACACACACACTCTCTCGATTCTTTCTCTTCTGACGAGGCCTGACTGAGTGGGGTAGAGGGAGGGGTGAGAGAATTTGTGTTTGTTTATTTAAATTGTTTCTTCACTTGAAAACAATTGTTGAAGATACGAATCGATTTTTTCTTTTCCCATTTTTGTTTTGTTTTTAGTTTTCCGGAGAAAAATTATCTTGGGAGTTCTCGCTTATCAAAACACGAGGCCATTAAAGTTTTTTTTTTTAACACTTAACTCAAGATGATAAAACCACAAATGCTCTTTCAGTACTTGTACATTCCATCACAATCTCTCTCTCTCTCTCTCTCTCTCTCTCTCTCTCTCTCTCTCTCTCTCTCTCTCTCCTCCAATACCTCGAGAAAAATACTGAGAATGGGATGGTACTGAGATTAGATTAATAATGAGACCGAGTTGGGACTGAGACAGAATCATAGTTTGATTGTGGGAAGTAATGAAATAATGCAAGATTGCGAAGAAGGGATTGAAAACCTTTAGATGAGTTGATATTATGATTAGAACACACTAAGATTGGATCAATACTGAGACTAGATAAGTGCTCAGATTAAAAGAGCAGTGAGATTGGATGCGTGAAATTTTTATAGGCACTAGGATTGGGTGCTACTGAGATAGGTGAAGGACTGAGATTAGTTATAGCTCTGAGAGTAATCAAGAAATGAGATTTGTTGATATTAGAACTGATTAAGAACTAGGATTTGATGCACTAGGATTGGATAAGAACTACGATTAGATAAGAGATAGAAATAGCTGCATACTGTATATTGTTAGAAAAACCACGAGAATAGATCGGTACTAGGATTAGGAAGATACTGAGATTGGCTAAGCACTGAAACCGGGAAAGCACTGAGATTAGCTGAGCACTGAGATTAGCTAAGCACTGAAACTGGGTAAGCACTGAAATTGGATGAACACTGAGATTGGCTAAGCACTGAGATTGGCTAAGCACTGAAATTGGGACTGTGATCGAGGAACTACTGAGATTGGACTGATACCGATTAGATAGACAAAAGAGTAGTTACTGGGATTAGACGGATTAAACTACGTACATACAACGGGAAGACACTGAGATTACCTCAACCTTGAGATTGGATACGGTAATATGATGGACTAATTTGTTGAAATTTAGGGATGTATAAAGAAAAACAGATTTCGTGTGTGTGTGTGTGTGTGTGTGTGTGTGTGTGTGTGTGTAGGCATGCGTAAGTGGACGTGGGCGTGTGTGTAGGTGGGTGTGGGTGGAAGTGGATTGATTGGGTGGGTTTCTGTGTGGATGGGAATGGATGAGTGGGTGTTGGATGAGTGTGTGTGTGTGTGGGATGGATGGGTGTGTGTGTGTGTGTGTGTGTGTGTATGTGTGTGTGATGGGTGGGTGTGGGATGGGTGGGTGTGGGATGGATGGATGGGTGTGGGATGGATGGATGGGTGTGGGTGAGTGGGTGGGCGTGTGGGCGGGTGTAGGAGGGTGAACGTGACGAAGAAGAAGAAGAAGAAGAAGAAGAAGATGATGATGATGGTAAGCAAACTGCCTTGTCATCTTGCTCAAGGGAGTGTTGTTAAAGCCATCTCTCTTGTCTTCATTCGTCTGTTTGCTGTGTTTTGCTTTATCAAGTCGATTTATTCCCCCCATTCTTATCGAACTGTGACCCCTATCTACCCATCCGGCCAATCCACCCGACCAGCCAGTACTTAAAAGACCTTCAGAACGCCTCCTTGTTATCGTATTCTGAATGGTGTGTGTGTGGTAGTGGGAGGTAGAGTGAGGTAGTGTTCAGTAAATAAGGTTATATGTATTTATATGTATATTTATGACTGTACTAACGGGTTGAGTATGTGAGAGTGTCGTTTACAGAAGGGTGGCTGGAGGTACTCGGCTGCGGGTATTAATAGCGAACAGTCACGACATATGTAAAACTAAATCGTGGATTGATGATGTTAATACACGTGAGGGAGGGAAGAAAGAGACGTTTTAATCGGATAAGTGTCGTGGCCTGACGATGGAAAGAGTGCAGACGAGTGTAAAGCCTTTTAGGGTGATACTCCCCGTAAATAAACACATGTAAATGACTCTTACGGGAAACTGCTACAAAGCATTGTTTTGCCAATTTTCTCGCATCTAAGTTGTTTAGGTGAATCATCAGTTCGCTACAGCGTAAAATGTGTCTTATGTGTAACTGTTATTAGGACCAGAACCCGCCGAGGCACGCCGTGAGTCATGCTGTACCATAAGGACCACGTTTCCTGGTTATATACACTAACGATCAACCATATGGTCACTATTTTATTACCCATTATATCCAATTACTGGATAACCAAATGCTAACATAGAGGAGTAAAAATAATGCTGAAAAATATTCATAAGCTCTGGTGTATTGGGGAAGCGTTTTTGACGAGCTTATGTGACGTCATCGTCGGAAATAACCAGGGCATGAAACACGACGTCAAAATGAAAACAGAAATCAGCTGATGTGAGAGTTACCATGTTGGGAAGGTGTTACGAGTGGGTGTGCACGTATACAGCGCCGTCCACGGGGGCTACCGTGATATGGTACTGATATTCTGATGGATTTATGAGTTTGCATGAACGTTAATAACACTTGGCTCGCTGATGGTTAGACGAACGCCCAGCCCAGACCTGTCGCCAGATGGTGGCAACGGCCAGGGCTGCCAACACCCACCAACAACAACTTACAGCGACAATGAGAGTTTATGTCCCTTGCCAGCATTATTGTCTCCAGCGTTATACACTGCCTATACATGCAAGCGTCTCTACACCAGTCTTTGTCTTAGTAATTGTTCTCCGGGGCGGACTTCCTGTGCGAGACGAGGGTAAGGTTTGTCACCCTGGCCAGACAATAATTGTCGATGGCGTAAAATTTAATGAAGCGAGATTGTTGTTGTAGCGCTGGACCTTACACCCTGTGCTTAACTTAGAAGCTCTCCACAGTAAAGGTTTGATGGAGCCCTGCCGGAGCTTTCTCTCTTAATTCTCTAAAGACCTTGACAGGATATATGAGACAACTCCATGGAAATGTTTGTTTTAAGCACCTTACATAACTATGAGGACAGACACTCCGGTTAGTAACAGCATCAACACAGCAGTAATACATTACAGCCTTAGTCCACTCACACGTATGTAACAAATACGGTCAACCTCCTGAATTCATCTGTTTTTAAAACTCGTCTCTTTAAAAAAAAACCTTTTCCCGGTCATTAAACCGATCTTGATAAATCAACCGGTGAGTGAATAAATTAACACAATAAACCACGACACTGAATCACTTGAGGTTTGACGGTATAGTTTACATAAAGCAGTGTCATGAAGAAGCCATGAGTGAGGTAAGGTATTATATACACGGGGATTCAGTACTAACCATTAGGCACCAGGCATGATTCGGGTTTCCTACGGCAAGCTGCAACACAAAACAATGCTCACTGTATTACGGTACCTGGAAGCATTTTTATTTTGAAGGAATAGTTGAATATGACGTGTGATTCACCTCAAGTAGAGATTATCATTATGCTTTTATGAGAGAAAGATGCTTTTATGTGACGTAAGAGCTACCTGGAGTTACCTTAATGAATGATAGGTGTCTTTATTGAACTGTGACCTCAGATTCACCTGTTAAATGGTCACGTGGGAAATAAAGGGGTTATTTGTTGAAACTTTGGCGTTGAGTGAAATAAAAATAAAGTCTATAAGAAAATATATCTTTACCTTTATTATTGGATAGTGATAACTGAGTCAGTCTCTATTGAACGGTGACGTCAGCAGGTAGTTAGGTGAGTGTGAGAAGGAGAGAATATCTCTTATATAAACCAGGTGAGACAAAGTTCTCCCTAAGACATCTTGAGACATATATCTCTGTTAAGACATCACTGTAAGAGGTAGTAGTATCATGAGACTAAATATTTGGTTATATGATGTTTTAAGTCTTCAAGTTTTTTTTTATGACTGAGTAGTTACGACAGTCATTGGCAATTCACATCTTGATTATGATGACGTTTCGTGTCCCATTAATGAGGTGTCTGATGTGGTGATACATTCATGAGTCATAAAAAAAAGATATAAAACAATAAACTTCAATAACGTGTCTCTAAAGAACAACCTAAGGTGCATATATAAATTTAATATATACAGGTATATATATATATATATATATATATATATATATATATATATATATATATATATATATATATATATATATATATATATATATATATATATTAACTGTCATAGCTGCATACCTGTATAAGCAAGGATAAAGTGAACCATCTTGGAGACGGTGAATAATGGTCTAAAATACTCTTCTTGTGGCATCACGAGAATGATGGCATATACGTGTATGTCTTCCTAAGTTGACAACAGGGAGGGAGGGAGGAGGGAAGGAAGGAGGGAGGGAGGGAGGGAGGGAGGGAGAAGGTAGTGTTGGTTGAGAGAAAAAGACTCCCCCACCCCTCCACCACTACACCGCCCTGGCTCGTACATTATTCCAAGTCATCTACAAGACTAATTAAGGTGGGTTTTTTTTTTATTAACGAAACACTCTATCAACTTTATTGATCAATGCGTCTTCATAATGATCACGATCAAAGTGTCACCATAACGATCAAAGTGTTCTCGGGATGATAATTCAACACAGGTGCATGACTCGGTATGATAAGCCATCTCCCGCAGCAACACACCTAAAAAAAAAAGTTAATTTTCCCCAACAAGAGATTAAAACATTTCCTGGTCTCACTCAGTTCGTCTTCAAACAATTTCTCGGCTAATTAACGTCGGCTCCGTCACACGAAATTACGTAAGACTTCGCTAAAGTTGTTAACGTGGCACTGAAATTATCCAAGACTGGAGGAAGGTTAATGCCTAGCTTGTACTGCTGGGAATACTTTATGCGAGAAGTGTTCGTTCGCTGATGAGTGTTTACCTCTCGGAGGGTGAGACGCGGTGCCCTGACTTCGCTGGCTCAGTTTACAGCCTCTCACCGCCAAATATATCACTTGTGTACGATATTGAGGTATTTTGTTGACAGTCGCGCTCGCCCAGATACAGTTACGTTTGGTCATGTGCTTGTAAGTGCAGGGCAAGACGCTGGTTACTGGAGTGTTGTGTGAGGACGTACCCGAGGTGTAGGGGTGTGTTCAGGCCTTCTTCAGGAGGGATGTCCCTGCTGGTCTATCTATCTACCTTTCTATAAAGCAAGTACATGTTTAAATCATCCACATACACACACACACACACACACACACACACATATGCACACACACAGACCACACCTCCCACACACACACATACACACACATACACCCCCCCTCCACCCCCACACATACACACACAGTAGCCGACTAAGGGCAAACAGTTTAAATGTTGACACGGCAAGTCAAAAAAGGTATCGGATGGTCGGCTGGACATGTTTCCTTTGTCCATCTTAGATTTACTGACTGATTTTCATTGGCTCAACACGACCTCACTTTAACGTCTTTATTCTCTCACTGTTAATATATATGTTTATTTTAATCATTCCTATATAACATCAGTTTATCCCTATATCATTCTTCGCTCTTATATTGAGCCTCTTTGATCATTCTTATCATTCATTAACCTGTTGTGTTTATGCTGTGTCATGGTGATTGAGGTGCGCAAATTGGGTCTTATATTAAAAGTTGACTGGTTGTATCTCGTGTAAATAATAGGTATTCTTATGATCACTGTCCGCGTGGTGATGACAGACAGACAGACAGACAGTGAAGTGACTCAGTGAACAGACAGAAAGACAGACAGTAGAGTGACTCAGTGAAGAGACAGACAGATAGTAGTGTGATTCAGTGAACAGACAGACAGACAGACAGTAGAATGACTCAGTGAACAGTCAGACAGAGAGACAGTAGAGTGACTCAGTGAACAGACAGACAGACAGACAGACGGACAAACAGACAGTGAAGTAACTCAGTGAACAGACAGACAGACAGTGAAGTGACTCAGTGAACAGACTCAGTGAACACAACACCCTCCCCCACTCCACCTGATCACAGCCTCAGAGCCAGCCAGTCAACTATAGCTACCAGGCGAGACAACAGCTACCGTAATTAGCATTAACACAAAGTAAATAAAAATAATATATACATATACTAAATGACGACTCATTCAGCTGTGACAAAAATCCTCCCTTGTATACATAGATAATTTTTCTGTGTGTGTGTGTGTGTGTGTGTGTGTGTGTGTGTGTGTGTGTGTGTAAATATTATCACCCGTCTCATTACATAGATTGGTATGGTCGTTATGATGTGCGTTGCCGACAAAAAAGCCAATTCGGAAGGGGGGAGGGGACGGGAAGGGACGGAAGGGGGAGGAGGAGGAGGAAGGGGAAGGGGAAGAGGAGGGACGGAGGGAGAGGTAGGGAAGTTCTCAGCCGTAAGGGAATTTATGGAACAGACATATCAACGAGTGAGAGGATTACAGGTACTAATGATAATAATTAACCTGACGGGAAGGTAAAACACACACACACACACACACACACACACACACACACACACACACACACACACACACACACACACACACACACACACACACACACACACACACACACACACACACACACACACACACACACACACACATCCTCCAGAAGAAATACCAAATTATTTCCCTAATAGAGCAAAAATACGAATAGTAATAAGTATAGAGGAATGATCTTGGGGAATGAGATAATGTGATAACAGAAGACATAAAGAAGACGATGACTAGTAAGAAAAGATAAAGGAAATGAAGATAGTTTTTTGTTTATGTTTACAAGTTGTTGAAAGAAACTTATTTGGGTTAGTGAGATAATTTTCCTCTGATTGGGAGACAGGAAAAAGCTAAGTATACAGTGATTATTGATGATATGAGATAAGATAAAGCTACGGTGGAGTTTTTTTTTTTTTTAGCTTTGATAGATGATAGAATGAGTTTGTATCTTTCTTAGTCATTACAAATAAACGAACTTAATTACAGCTGGGTTAATTTTTTTTTCCGAGCCATGACAAACAAATAAATAAATACTCCCAGTGCCTTACAATCATTCATAAACGCCCCTTAAAAAAAATTAATCCACGCATGTTTTATCCACACACACACACACACACACACACACACACACACACACACACACACACATACACACCACGACCTCATCTGCAAATTTGGTAAGAAGCTTCTACACCATCCTCGACACCGGTTCCTACTACCACCTGAGATCCCTAGCCCGAGAATTGCTGTTCGACACCACAACCGCATCCAGCCCATACGTGCACGAACTGATCGCTATAAGAACAGCCCAGTCCCAACCATTGTAAAAATTATCAATAACTTGTAATAGACCAGTGTATTCACTCCCAGTAAATACTACTTCTTGCACTGTCACTATGTTGAAATGCACTGTAGTTTGAGCTTTTCCCCATCTAGTTATTATATATCTTATTTGTATCACTTATGTTACTTGTATATTATTTATAATTCGAAACCCATTCCCCAAATATGTAACTGTATATTTTCAGCCTTCTGGCTGCCAAGCTCTTTCAATAAACCGTTAATTATTATTATTATTATTATTATTACACACACACACAACATCTTTCCTACCAACCTTGTCTCTTCACATAAAGAAGACGAGGAAGGAAAGCGGTTAATATATGAGCTAACTACTCGCTTAATTCACGATCAACTTGGGTATAATCGATGTTAAACTGTAGGACAAGTTATTATATAAAGGGTTTAAACTCTCTCTCTCTCTCTCTCTCTCTCTCTCTCTCTCTCTCTCTCTCTCTCAATCCGTGACAGATACGGTGGGTAAATAATTCATAATCCTCCCTTAGCTGTGTGATAAAGTATGAAGGGATGGTAGCTATGAGGGAGAGTGTGTATTAATGGAGTGTGTGTGAAGTGTGTAGAGTGTGTGGTGTGTGTGTGAAGTGTGTGTGTGTGTCTTTGTGTGTGTGTGTGTGTGTGTGTGTGTGTGGGTGTGTGTGTGTGTGTGTGTGTTTACGTATAGTAGTAAGACTAGAGTGATATCTTCATGGCCACGCCGCGTCACCCGTCAACACAAGATCAAAACATCTTGTACACTTCCTCTACCACCAGCATACACCTACCTACCTACCTACCTGCCTACCACGCCGCGTCACCCGTCAACACAAGATCAAAACATCTTGTACACTTCCTCTACCACCAGCATACACCTACCTACCTACCTACCTGCCTACCTGTTCCTCGTGCCTCCTCGTGCCTTCACCTGGCTGAGCTCCGTCCCCCCAACCACTAGTACTGGACACCAACAAAGAATAAGGATGATAGTGCATGTTAGTTCATAATCAAGCATGCCCGCGTGAATTAAAAGCCGCTCGACTGCCCCTACCTTCTATTATG